ACTACGCATGGCACCAGACCATGAGAAGGCCCGTCTGGCCTGCAGAGTAAGTGCAGCATTACTGGGATACGGCACATTTAATTTAAATTCTTGGATGCAATCAGTTAAAACTCCTGTGTTTCTCTCTTATAGAATGCTAAAGCCCTAAAGGCAAAGAAAGAGGAAGGCAACAAAGCATTTAAAGATGGCAGCTATGAAGAAGCATATGACCTTTACTCTGAGGCCCTGACCATCGACCCGAACAACATCAAAACCAACGCCAAGCTATACTGCAACCGAGCCACTGTTGGGTCCAAGGTCAGCATTTGATTTACTCCTGTACGTTTTCTTAGTACTTCTGTACAATTCCAAAACAAGAAGTACGTTTTGTTTGGACGTATTATCAGTGTTGGAGTGCCCCACAAGGTCAAACACAACTTTTTTCCTGTTCTAAAAATGGGTCAAGTGTGTCTCTCATTTTTGTTATTGTTTATGGCTACCGCATGTTTCTCTCTCCTTGGTGTTTTCAGTTAAACAAACTGGAGCAGGCCATTGAGGACTGCACAAAGGCTATTAAGCTGGATGAGACCTATATTAAGGCTTATTTAAGAAGAGCCCAGTGGTATGTTTGTTGTTCTTTCTATTCACTTTAAGCGGTTATTTATCGGCTATGTTAATCTGTGCATTTTGTATTATAGTTACATGGACACAGAGCAGTATGAAGAGGCTGTCAGAGATTATGAGAAGGTTTATCAAACAGAGAAGACTAAAGGTGCGTGTCCATCTTGATTGGACGTCAAAATGTTTTTCATGTCCCTTAATGTCAAATCTCATTTCATCTGTGTTGTGTTTCAGAACACAAGAACTTGTTGAAGAACGCTCAATTAGAGCTGAAGAAAAGCAAAAGAAAAGATTATTACAAGGTTCTCGGGGTGGATAAAAATGCCACTGAAGATGAAATTAAGAAGGCCTACCGCAAACGAGCACTGATGCACCACCCGGGTACATAGTTGTTTGAAAGAATCAAAGCGTGTTCTCCATATACGGTCTCTATCTGCAAATTCCCATGGCATTACCCATAAAGCTGTTCTATAGGCAGCATGTAAAAGTCCTCAAGTTGTTTGCTTTTCTGTCTGTTTCTCTGATGCAGTCTCTCTTTTGTATTTTTTAAAGATCGACACAGTGGAGCGAGTTCTGAGGTGCAGAAAGAGGAAGAGAAAAAGTTTAAGGAGGTGGGCGAGGCCTTCACTGTGCTCTCCGACCCCAAGAAGAAGTCCCGCTATGACAGCGGCCACGACCTGGAGGATGATGACATGAACATGGGTCTGTCTCATCACATTCGACCTCTTGGGTTTTTTTTTTTCCCTTTCTGTCAACAAATTTTTTGTTTTTAATGAGTTTCACTAATTTGAATGTTTCATGCTTTAATATTTAATACTTTGGTTGTTTTACATGTAACTGAAGTTTAAAAAAAAACTTCAGTCTATGGTGGCATGCGATGACTAATGATTTTAAGTGTCGTCTTTTTTTTTGTTGTTATTCTGTTTCAGACTTTGATGCCAACAATATCTTCAAAGCGTTCTTTGGCGGCCCTGGGGGGTTTAGTTTCGAAGGTAATTCATGTAAGGCAGTGCTTTTTTTTACTTCTCTTCATAATCATCCGATATTCAGATGCTCAGACTGAACAAACAATTGAAATACAAAAGTTTCGAAAGTTTGGGGTCAGTACGGTTTTAAAATGTGTTTGAAAGACATCTCTTATGCTCGCCAAGAAAGCATTTATTTAATCAAAAATATGACCATTATTTTTTTACACCGTAAAAATATTTCCCGATATTGTTTTCTATTTTAATATTTTTTAAATGTCACTTATCCCTGTGATGGCAAAGCTACCATCACTCCAGCATCATTACTCCAGTTGTTACATGATCCTTTAGAAATAATGTTGATTTGGTGCTCAAGAACCATTTCTCATTATCCATATTCTCAAGCCCTGACCAGTGTAGGGGTTGCACAGGCTAGACAACTTTAATGCTCTGCTATGGTGCTTTAAGCTTGACGTCGACTATGGCCTATAGAGGGCGCAACAGGACATGAATTCAATGAAGTCCACTTATGCTCCGTTTCCAACAATTAAAATAACAAATAAATGCTCTGAGAGTGCAAGATGCTCCAAGATATTTGATATACCATCTGTATGCTCAAAATTGATCAGGTCAATGCAACGGTGTAAACCATTTTTTGTACATCTAAGTTAATCGCATTCTAGTCTAAGGCGCACAGAAATGTATTTAACACTGTTCTGTGATTGTATCAATAAAATTTCTTAGTAACTAAAACCCACAGCTTAACTAATTGTAGAGGGACGCTGAGGTGCAATTCCTGCAGAACCTCTCTCTCCCTCTCCCCTCGATTTATATTTAGAGTATAAATCTGTAAGGAAATGTATAAGGACCCATAGACAAAAGAACTGAACTAAGTGCTGTCTTGTGCCATTGTTGTGCACAAGGAAACCTGAGTTTGAGTCTCAGCACAAGGTCCAGGCTTATTTGTTGTCTGAGGACATCATTAATTGCAAAAATCTGAAGTTGTTAACTCCTAGTCCAGTGCAGTGGCACAGTAATCATGTCATTTTCCTGTGAAAAGGGATGTTGCGCTCTCAATCCACTCCACATTGCACGTATGAGCTTGTGCACAGCAGCTATATAGACATGAATATTTAATTAGTTAATTTATTATTAACAGAATTACTTATTAAATGCATAACTACAGATATACTGTCTGTTTGCCCAGTTGTCCATGTTTTTGTCTGGACAAACATATCCTGTGTGGATTACGAATACACAAGCGCTTACTGTCACTGGATTAATTTAATGCAGCATTTCAAAATAAAAGTATTCATTTCTTTCTTTTTTTTAAATCCTACTGACCCTGAATTTGTATTTGTACGTGTCTTGTCTTAAGACAACATTAAAAAATAATCTCAGCATCTGAATTCATAATGTTTACTTAACTTTTGATTGTTTTCCTTTTATTCACTTAATTATTTGTTTTGTCTTGCAGCATCTGGACCAGGAAATTTCTTCTTCCAGTTTGGTTAACTTGGCAGAATCCAGCATGTATGCAGTAGTTCCACAACCCCTGAATTCCCCTGAACCGGACTGCTCCCCTCCATCCCTGCCTTCTGGTGTAACGGGCCTTCTGGCCCCACAGCTGGACCTGCGTCTGTGCCATTGACTTGTTTTACTGCTTGCGCACAAAGACAACAACGGCTGGGGCATGACCTTTCTGTACCAGGAAAAACATGATGCATTGCACACTTCTCTCTCTGATCAGTGACCTTTTTGGCCCTTGTAATACAGCTCTAGTTTTATAGTTTCTTTTTTTATCCACTCTATTGAATGTACCTGGCTGCATTGTCATTCACGTTTATTATTTTGAAAATCAGTTTTGAAATTTTTTTTTTCTCAAAAGCTGAAACTACAAATTGATGCAAATCAATGAAAATGCAAGTCTGCTGTTTCTGCCTGACACTGCATAGGAGTAGGTAATGCTCTAATCTCGTTTCCCATTAGACAGCCCCTCTCCCAAGCATTTTACCGATTCACATCGTCCAAATTCAAAGCATGTCAGAAAAAAACACGGGTTGGCAAAGGAATTTCATTACTGCTAGTGACGTATAGATTGTTTAAATGTGTACAAAGCCAGAATTCACACAGATTATATTTATGCAACATTGCAAACCATGTTAAAGACCTCAGCAAATTTATGTGAATGCAGTGCCTCATGCCAAATCTCATCTTAAGAATACCGCTAGTTCTCGTCCGATGATTCCGGCACTTATTTGGATTGTTGGACTACTGCATACAGAGGTTCAGGGAGAGTGAGTTCATTGGAGCACCTGTTGGCCATGCCGCTCTCTGTAAGGTTCATCTGTCAATGTTGCCATTCAACCCCTTGCTGCATTGTACATTTTACTGGAATGTAAAGTGTTTCTTTGTGTTGATAGTTTATGACTGTTTAATTTTTTTTAACTGAAATACACACTTTTTTGATATGTATATTTATTGTAAATTTGCTGGATGTGAGCTTCGGACGGATGGATGATCTTTAAATACACTAGGATCTGCACTCTTATAGGTTAACCCCAGTGAGAGACTATGCTTGGCTACTTCTGAATTAAAGAGCCTCTGGAGGGTGTGATGTCAGAAGTTAATTGTTCTGGGTATTTGTGGACTTGATACTATTGACTCCACACTATATGTAATATTGATCCATGTAAACTGGAGGCATGATCAGTGAGCCATGTTTGGGGTTCTCTCCCATTTGAACTAAATGTTCCTTGACATTGGATTGCTGAAGATATGTTGTGTTCCAGCATTCTCTTGTTTGTTTGACCTGACCGTGTACTAAAATGTAGGATTCAAGCATTTGTCTGGATACTTTAATATCGTTTATCTTGCAAGATCTTCAGTGTATTCAAAATCAACCTCCACACTGACTGCTCACTCCGCTGGAACAGTCTTGACTATGGACCGTTTTTAAAAAAGCCATGTAAATAAAGTAAGCCTCTTTGTTTCCCCTTCACCAAATACTTAACTTCTCTGTCTGTATTTAATACATTTTTTTCTCTCAGATTTTGTCACCATGCATGATCTCGTTTTATTTGTATATAAAATGCTATTTTATAAACTATAACATAAAATTTCGTCCAACAAACGTGTGCATATATATATATATATATATATATATATAGACCATTTTGCAAGATGTAAACACTGAAGAAACACATTCCTGTTTCAGTTTGTAACTGTTTTCTTTATTTCACATGTAAAGAAAACGTATTAAAGATTTTTGTTTAACTTTCAAATTCAGTTTTATATATTCTGTTGGTTGTATTTTATCCCAGCTTTTATGTAGTGTTAAAAAACTGAAACAGGAAGTGCTTCTGGACCAGTGTTGTTTACATCTTGCAAAATGGTATATTCGTTTGTTGGACGTAATGTTATTGTATATTATGCATTGTACATAAAATATTTTACATTTTATAAACTATTTATGTAAACGATGTAATGACGTGTTGTGTTGGCCTGTCCATCAAAGTTTATTGGCCCCACAGTTTTGTTAGGAGAGTTGCTAAGATACGAGCGGACAGGACTGTCCCGTAGACCCGTACCACAACTGCTCTTATTGATGTTTACTGAAAGGTTGTGATATAGTTGTGCTTAATACGATTAAAATGTCTGACAACGAGGAAGATCAAGGGCCTAAGAGTACCTTTACCACCTATATGGCTGAAGGTGACCAGCTGTTTCAGAAGGGCGAGTATGTCAAAGCTATCGAGTGCTTTTCCATGGTGAGCTAACTTTGCGAAACACACACTGATTACGGTCAGACGAAATTAAATTGATTGCTTCATTTGACATTTTATAAGCATCTTCTTCTCTGCTATCCAACAGGCTTTAAATTTACAGCCAGATGATAAGAACTGTCTGGTAGCCAGATCCAGGTGTTACATGAAATTAGGTGATGCAGAGAGCGCGCTGAAAGACGCCGAGACGTCCCTCAAAAACAACAAAAACTATTTCAAGGTGTGTTCATCCGTCCTAGCTTGCTTTTAGTTTTCTTTTGTCTCATTGTTTGTTCCTAAAGTTCACAGCCGCAGCCACAGCTTTGAGTTACTGTGTGTGTTACGTTACCTGTAGTAAGATATTTGTCCTGAAGAGGGCGTATTTACTGATCTAACGTTACATCACAGAAAATATTACAAATATAACTTTGTTAATGAGTATACTGTTTAAGGCAAAAGGTTAAAAAGGACAGACTCTAAGGTTACCTGTGAGGGGAATATCCACTAAAATGCTAAAAAGCCAAGAAAAGAGAGGTTCATTCTATGGAATGTCTAACGTTAGCTTTTCACATGACACTTGGCTAGCTTGGTATTTTGTATGTAATCCAATTAAATTCTTGACTTTTTAACTGTGTTTTTTGGAGCCAATATATAAGCTCTCTAAAAAGCAGTAAACCCACATCTGATGTATAGCAAAGCTTTGGGGCCAATACATTTTGATCAATTTAATGCATCCTTTGTATATAAATACTTTTAAATAAATAAATAGTCCTACTCATAAAAATGTGTACGACGTTGTAAAGTCAAGAGCGATATCATTGTGCAGCCTTTACCTCTACCTCAGTTTGAGTGGGTCCCTGAGCTGGTGTGAGTGACTGGAGGCGGGTCTAATTTGAAATATTTGTGCACCCGCTTAAACTAAATGAAGCAAGGGTGTAGTGTTAAAACAACTTTTAAATGTGTTTTAAGCGATACAATTGACTACAGTGGGACTTAAGCAGGACTGTTTTCAACACTGATCATGTAAAAATGCTTGATCACCAAAGCAGCATATCTGAATGACTTCTGAAGGATCATGTGATAATGAATGAAAACTGGAGTAATTATCCTGAAAATTACGTTTCAAAATGGATTAAAATATAAGACTTTCTTTTTTTAAAATTTGCAATAATAGTTCACAATATTCCCTTTTTTACTGCATTTCTGATGTGCTACCAAGAAACCTGATTCTCTTTGGTTCTGCAGGGTCTGTATCAGAAGGCTGAAGCCCTCTACACTATGGGTGATTTTGAGTTTGCATTGGTCTACTATCACAGAGGCCATAAGCTACGTCCAGAGCTACAGGAGTTCAGACTGGGAATCCAGAAAGCTCAAGAGGCAATCAACAACTCAGTGGGCAGTAAGACACAACATAATGAGAAATGAGGAGTTCAGGTTTTGGTTACACAACAAAATGACTTAGGTTAGTAACCTTCATCTGCCTCTCTCTCCCCAACCTAAAAGGTCCTTCTTCTGTGAAGTTGGAAAATACAGGAGACCTGTCTTTCTTCCACAAGTCTAATGGGGTGAGCTATCTCTTGCTCATTCTCTCTCTTCCGTTATACCACCTATCCCGTCACTCATATAATCATTGTTTATAATTTACTTGTACGTTCCATTTTAGCAGGTAGTAATGCATATTTATTTGTTTGATGCATTCTCAAAGGTTCATCCCAATCATTCTCATAAGAAGGAATCCAAAAAGCATGGCCAGAAGATGTGCAAATATGAAAAAACAGCCAAGCTACTTCTGGGAGAATTGTACAGTGACAGAGAATACTTAGATAAACTTCTACAAGATGAAGGTGTGTGTTTTCATAGAGGTTTTTTTTTTTAGACCTTGTTTGATGTTAGTTTGCATCTATGAGGGTGCATACTCTATAGACCATTTCACAAGATGTGAACAACACTGGTCCAGAAACACTTCCTGTTTCAGTTTGTAACTGTTTTCTTTATTTCACATGTAAAGAAAACATCTTAAAGATGTTTGTTTAACTTTTTGATTCAGTTTTAAATGTTCTGTTGGTTGTATTTTATCCCAGCTTTTATGTAGTGTTAAAAAACTGAAACAGGAAGTGCTTCTGGACCAGTGTTGTTTACATCTTGTGAAATGGTCTATATAAAGTATGGCA